AAGGGAAACAAGCTTCCCTTAACGTGTATACAACACTAAGACACTCAAGAACAAGACTCTCTTTAAGAGTAGATGTTGAGTAAACTATATACGCTCAAGAACAACTCAAACTTCACAAATTGGCTCTAGAAAGCTATGGAAAATAATGTTGTTTGGATGCAATGATAATATGAATAAAGTGAAGTGAATTGATGATAAAAGCAGACCCAAACACCCCTTTTTATAGTGCCAAAATAGGCTCCAACGGACCAATGCATTAAAGGGGTGATTGGCTTGATTTATGGGATTGAATAAATTTGGGATCTGCAGGATATTGGCTTCCCATCGATGTTTGGAACTTACCCATCGCTGGCAAGCCAATTTTCCTTCAGTTTTGAAGCCACCGGTTACCTACCCATCGATGGGTACAAGCTTCCCATCGCTGGGTGGGAGGTGTACTTCCAAAGAAGGAAAGAATCAACCTTAAATGACTTCCAACGGTCATGCCTTCCCATCGATGGTTTAGCCTTCCCATCGCTGGGTTCCCATCGATGGGTAAGGCTTCCCATCGCTGGGTAAGGGCATTCTGCCTTGTGATAATGTTGGACCAAGGCTTGAACAGCGATGGGTAGAGCTTCCCATCGCTGTGTGGCATGGTTCTGGAAGTTGGTTTGGCTAAGGGGCTACTTACCCATCGATGGGATGTTCTTCCCATCGCTGGGTGGGTGGTTAGCCAAAAACCTATGGTTTTTGCCTTAACCACGGCCTAGCCAACCAATGCAAAAACCGACCGAAAAATCCAAAGTTCTCCAAAATAAAAACCAAGTGTTTAAAAACTTATTTGATGTATTTGGCTAAGAAACCAAGGGAGACACTTTAAAAATCACGTCATTTGAGTAAAAACCACGGCTAGCCAAGTTTACGCCATTTTGCGTGGTTTTTGTCAAACGACTAAAAGCGAGAGATGGTTTTCAAAGTGTTTTTGTTGGAGAACCGTTTAAACATGCCAAAGAGTGAAATCAGATCATAAAATGCTGAAAACCACTTGGTTGGTTCGGATGCCAAAAAACCAAACCCGACAACCGAAAGCCGAACGCTGGTTTTTGAAAGCCGAACACTGGATGGCTTGGTTTTTGGTTTGGGCGAACACCAAGTGTTTTTAATGACTTAAACAAGTTTAAAACCATTTTTATGATGTAAGAAATGCAATGAGAGTTTTTAGCCTAAAGAGCCAAGGTGTAAAGATTGGGTCGGTCTTGATCACAATAAAGACCGACTCAATAATATGATTAAGGTCTTCGTTTAGCTCTTGCTCTTATCTTCGTTCTTCGCCTTGTATATTCAATGTTCGACTTGATCACGGCGGTTTGGCATTATCAAAACCTGTTACAAAAACGAACACGGCTTTAGTACGAAAACGTGACAAGCCCGTGTTTCAACATAAGGTTGCCGAAAATTGGTGTATAAAATGGGTTGGGATTCTCTCATTTTATAATATACTCTGTATCACTTAATGTAAAATATCATGAAACTTTCTTGAGACATTAAGGTGTGATCATAAGGTTATCAAAATATAATGTCTCTAACCAACATAACAAAACAAAAGACATTCCTTCAAATCAAATATTTGATTAAATCAACAAATATAATCAAATAATGTCTTGCATTTTAATATGATAAAATTGACACCCCATATTAAAATTGTACCCCATATTAAAATGTGATAAAATGTGATAAAATTGCATTTTAATTATCATATAATTAAAATGATGGAAATAAAATAATATATATATATATACACACACACACACACACATATATATACACACACACACACACACACATATATATAGACCTGGCAATCGGGTCAATCGGGTCAATCGGTTCGGTTCCGGTTCGGGTCTTTTCGGTTTGGGTCTCTTTCGGATATATGTTATAGTCAGTTCGGGTCAGTTCGGTTCGGGTCAGTTCGGTTCCGGGTTTATTTCGGTTTGATTGGTTTTTGGTTTCGGTTCGGTTTCGATTTGGGTTTGTATAGGTTCGGGTTTGTATCGGTTCGGGTTTATATCGGTTCGGGTTATATCAGTTCAGGTTTGTATCAATTTGGGTTGTATTGATTTGGGTTTATATAGATTTGAGTTTATATCGGTTTAAATTTATATTAGTTCAAGTATAATGTAAACACATACATACTAATAAATGAATAAATCACATAATAAATTTAGTTAATTTAGTTAACTATAATTTTTATATACTTTCTATAAAAATACAAAAGTATTTTAACTTAAGTTATAAAATGCAAAGTAAAAGATTTGTACATGAAAGTAGTTACATGGTTTGCACCCGTAATTTAAATATGTTTTTTTAGAAACACATCAGCATATGTAAAAATATATAGGTAATTCGTTTTCTCCAAATTCATTTGATAAATGAAATATTAATGAATTTGATCAATTTCGGGTCTAATCGGGTTCGGGTCTAATCGGTTTCCAGTTTAACCGGGTTCGGGTTTAATCGGTTCAGGTTTAATCGGATTCGGGTCTGAATACATTGGGTTCGGGTTCGGTTCGATTCGGATCATTTTGGGTGTTCGGTTCTATTTCGGTTCTTCAGTTTTCAGGTCAAATCGGGTTCGGTTCCGGGTTATTCGGTTCGGGTTATCGGGTCCGGATCAGTTTTGCCAGGTCTATATATACACACACACACATACATATATATATATATATAAGGATTGACTTCGGTGAGATGACACCTTGTGGTAAGATGACATGTTTCAGTCAGATGACGCTGGAGCTCACCACTGATCACTGTTAGAATAAGTGCCCTTCACTAGAGGGGGGTGAATAGTGAGGCACGAGAATGTTTATAAATTTTCGCGGAATAAAGATCGCAGGGATAAAAAATTAAGAACGTGAAAAGTAAAGAGCGTAGAAAGCGTAAAGGGAGCACACCAAGATTTATACTGGTTCACCACAACGTGTGGCTAATCCAGTCTCCCGAGAGACTCTCTCGAGCTACACTACTTCCGTTAAACTTACGGGTGTTTAACAAACCGTTACAACCTGAGAACTCGAGTCCCACGAGCCTCAACAACCTTGCTCGGAGATACCGCACTCCAAGACTTCAACCCGAAGGAAAATACCTTTCCTTCGTAAAACCAAGGGAAACAAGCTTCCCTTAACGTGTATACAACACTAAGACACTCAAGAACAAGACTCTCCTTAAGAGTGGATATGAGTAAAATATATATGCTCAAGAACAACTCAAACTTCACACAAATTGGCTCTAGAAAGCTATGGAAAATGAAGTTATTTGAATGCAATGAAAGTATGAATATTGTGAAGTGAATTGATGATAAAAGTAGACCCAAACACCCCTTTTTATAGTGCAAAATTAGGCTCCAACGGACCAATGCATTAAAGGAGTGATTAGCTTGATTTATGGGATTGAAAAGATTTGGGATCTGCAGAATATTGGCTTCCCATCGATGTTTGGACTTACCCATCGCTGGTAAGCCAATTTTCCTTCAGTTTTGAAGTCAACGGTCACCTACCCATCGATGGGTACAAGCTTCCCATCGCTGGGTGGGAGGTTGACTTCCAAACAAGGAAAGAATCAACCTTTAATGACCACCAACCGTCATGCCTTCCCATCGATGGTATACCCTTACCATCGCTGGGTTCCCATCGATGGGATAGACTTCCCATCGCTGGGCAAGGTCGTTCTGCCTTGTGGTAATTTTGCACCAAGGCCCTAACAACGATGGGTGGAACTCCCCATCGCTGTTTGGCATGGTTCTGGAAACTGGTTTGGCTGAGGAGCCGCTTACCCATCGATGGGAAGATCTTCCCATCGCTCGGTGAGTGGTTAGTCAAGAACCCATGGTTTTTGGCTTAACCACGGCCTAGCCAACCGATGCGTAACCCGACCGAAAAATTCAAAGTTCTCCAAAATAAAAACCAAGAGTTTAAAACACTTATTTGATGTATTTGGCTAATAAATCGAGTAAGACACTTTAAAAACCACGTCATTTAAGTTAAAACCACGGCTAGCCAAGTTTTATGCCGTTTTGAATGATTTTTGTCAAACGACCAAAAGCGAGAGATGGTTTTCAAGGTGTTTTTGTTGGAGAACCGTTTAAACATGCCAAACAGTAAAAACCAATCATAAAAAGTTGAAAATCACTTGGTTGGTTCGAACGCCAAAAACCATAGCCGATAACCGAGAGCCGAACGCCAGTTTCTGAAACCCGAACGCTGGATGGCTTGGTTTTTGGTTTGGGCGAACACCAAGTGTTTTTAATGACTTAAACATGTTTGAAAAGCATTTTTATGATTTAAGGAGTGCAATGAAGGTTTTTAGCCTAAAGAGCCAAGGTGTAAAGGTTGGGTCGGTCTTGATCACAATGAAGACCGACTCAACGACACTAAGACTAAGGTCTTCGTTCTTGGTCTTCTTTTAGCTCTTGTTCTTGTCTTCCTTCTTCGCCTTGTATA